CGCCACCACCACCACCGCCACTACCACCACTATACCACCACCACGACCGCCACCGCCACGCGCCACAACCACCACCGCCACCACCATTAGGAGCACGGCCAGCAGGGTCTTTTGGGAGTTCAGGGTTCGAAAGTTCAGTGATTCTGACGGTGGAGTGACTCAGTGGGTTCGCTGCATGTTTCGTTGAAGGGAGAATGTTGCTGCAATTTCAGCACTCGGCCATCCATGATAGACTACTGAAAGGGATGAGCTTCGAAGATGTTGTAAGCTGCTGCTCAACAGATTTGCACTCCTCTTGTACATCTGTTGTGGCTGTGGTCTATAGACCTCGGCACTGCAAGCCCAATAAGCTTAAACTCCGATCCCCAAAATCCTTGCACCCTGAAGCCCAAAGTGCCTAAAGCAATCTGCGAACACATCCGAGGGCGAGGCTGGAGCGCAGCGCCCACTCTGTTCAAGAACAGGTCGAAGATGTCCAAGTGCCTTTGCATTCACGTCAGACAGCGCGTGTGTGTGTGTGTGCACCACAGAGCATCCGGTAGTCGGTTGCTGAGGTTCCGGCTTGTACTTGAGGCCCGTCGTCTCCTGAGTTAGGGCACTGCTTTGACGTGTCTTTCTGGGGTGATGCCGGCTTTCATTGGGGAGAGCCAAAATGTCTTGTTCAAAGCGCTGGCCGGACAAAGTCAGGAACAAAGAAGCCTCAAATGCGGTCGAGCGTCAGCCAGTTTATAGGGCACCGCACACTTGTCCTGCAGCTTGTGAAGCAAGCTCACGGAGAACTCTGACACTAAATGACCATCTAATCAGAGGTGAGCCTTCTTGTACCCATTCGCAGCACGCGGGAAATCGATCGGATCCAAAACGCCGAACCTCGGCCCACAGGCGGTTCTGCACGGAACACTGCAGATTCAGCCCCCATGATCTTCACCATACTCTGAGCGAGCAATGACAATTCCTTCACCCTGAAAACCAAGCCCAAAGAGCTATTTGGAGGAGACGGATTAGGGCTTAGGTTTTTTTGAAGGCCTTTTTCCACAGCTCTGAGTCTATGGGCTTAGGGTTTGGGGTTGAAGGACCTACACAGGCCTCTCTTCAGCTGAGGTCCCCGACTCGGATCCCATCCATGTCATGGAGGCATCGCATCCTGGGTCAAGTTGGTCCGGCTCTTCTGGTAATCTAAAAGAGCCTCCATAGCCAGACTAGGGTTTCAGGGTATAATATATTATGCCGAGTATGTTAGGAATTTTAGGGTGAAGCTGCTACGAGTTGTTCCGACCCCTGTGGTACCGGAAAGCCAATACACCCCAAACCCTACAGCCTACTACATCCTGAACTCTGCCAACGTTGCAACCACCGCTAGTCGTCGTGCAGCACTAGAGGGAAGCAGGAGCACGAGCAGGAGCAGGAGCAGTAGTAGTAGTAGTAGTAGTAGTAGTAGTAGTAGTAGTAAGATTAGCAGTAGTAGCAGCAGGAGTAGTCGTAGCAGTAGTAGTAGTACCAAGTGGAAACGTATTTCTCACAGATGCTGGGTGCTAAGGTTCCCGGCCCAACACCGACGACACTAACCTGCTCATCTTCAACCTCGGCCAGTCACACGGGAGCACCGTTTCTATTGCAGGGAGGGGGGGTTCCCCAAAGCGGGGGTTTCGGGTCGCTTATGCTTTGACTCCGACATCTGTATACGAGTGCACTGCGCTTAGGCTCGAGAAGATGGTGTTTCAGAAGATGGTGTTTCTCGCAGCTTGAACTGAAGCGCGTGTATACCCAGTTTCAACAATCATAGCGAAGGAGCTGAGGCTTTTTACGCATTTAGAGCTCTGGCGATTCGAAACTTTTGGGTCCAACTAGAGATCAGGCAAGCGCTATGCCTGTTGAGGAACATTGCATTGCTGGATTTCGGGGTCGGGAACAGAGTGCTGAATGCACTTTCAGGGCGGCTAGCACAAGCCTTGTGCACGCTAAGGTGTTTAATGTCGGGTGGTCCGTAGTTGATACAGCACAATGGCCAGCCAGAACACCCCAACTCTGGCTTCCTAATGCTTGACACTGAGCCGCAGACAGCTGAAGTCCGCGAATCACCAGGTGATTATTGTCCAGGACACCCATCGCGCCCTCGGCGTCACCATGCTCTAGCCAGGGCTCCGGGTTCTTGTCATGACGTAACCCATGTGACTGAGCTCGACCACAGATCACGCAGCACGGCTTTGTAAAGTAAGCCCATCATTCACAGTGACATTGCTTTCATCAGCATCTTCATGATGATGATGATGATGATGATGATGACGATGACGAACAGCCAAAAAGTACCATCTTATATACCTGAAGGGACAACGACAGCTCCAGGTTCAGATCGCTCAGAAATCGAAGAGCCACTGTTGCAAGCAAACCCTTGACAGCAACCCTAAACGCGAAACCCTAAGCTTCGGCCAAGCTGAGGTCTCTTCTATCTATCTCCATGCAACTTTTGCCCGACAATCCGGTTCCCCGAGCCATAATGGGCAAATGCAGGGCCGTAATACATTAGATTAGAGCTTTTTCGCCGGGGCGTGCGGATTCACATGCTGAAGTTGTATCGGGATCGTAAGCCAAGTATCATTGCTGGATATTTCGATCCCGCCCTGTTCATCTCAATCAGCAGCTCCGAAAGCTGAGAGGTGGGCTCTGTGCTGTCCCAGCACTTGCTGGGCCAAGGGGGCGCCCACCCCGGGCCCACGTGGGACGGTGAACTTGGGGGCATCGTGGATGTCCATCTGCTCGTAGTAGATCCTTAACAGATTCGGCCGGGTACATGCTTTTCCAGGGGTGTATGAACTAGCTTCTCAGCTTCTCATCTGGGAGGGGGCTGAGTCTGCTCCAACCCCGAAGAAGGAAGCTTGGGTACCCTTCCTGAGCCCTGACGAACCGGAAAGTGCGTAATGTGGAAGCCGAAATAATTAGAATAGGGTTTTGGGGTATATTATTATTATACGATAGTTACAATAAGGAACCCCCACAATAGTATAGGTAATTATGTAGGCCCCTATGTTAAAGCCGATGCGGTCGAAGAGGCTGCTCGGTCTTTCGCGCAATGAAGGTCCAATTGAACTCATTCAGAGCCTGCGCCATGCCATGCCAGTAGCATCCGCTTCTTTCACTGTCTGTCTACATTGCATCAATCGCCAACAAACAGAAAGCTGGCGTCTGGAGTCTGGAGCTCTGTTTCTGACTACTTGTCCACGCTAGCACACATTGGGCAGTGCTTGCGCTTGCCTTCTCCTTCGCCACGGCACCCATCCACCTGTGACAGAGAGGACGGGTCCACGGCGCGCCGCATCAGACCAGATACCCCCTCGTTTCAAAGCCTTGCTCTCAGTGCACAGGCATCTCTCGACTTCTCTGTAGAATATATAGATGTGCGGCGTCAGGGTCTGCCAGTAGCCACGGCTGTCACGGTGTTGAAATGATCACAGGCAGAGGTGGCAGCGTTAGTCGTCACGAACCTGCGCCTTGACTTGTCAACTGCTGAGCTTCCCTGGCAACCAGCGTCATGGCCTAAAACGCTCGAGGAGCCAGCATCATCCTGTGTATCATGGAAACCCGAAACCCTATAAATCCAAAGGTCTGGTACATGGAATACAAGGTAACACCGCTCATGCGCACCTGGCATGCTCGAAGTTCTCACAGATCTTGCAGACGCCCCAGGCCTTAGCATGATGCAGATAAGTTACACAAACATAAGGGCCTGAATGTTCAAATTTGTATTTTTGGGTATACTATCCTCTTCTTTTTATAAGGCATCCTGCGGAATAATATTGGTACTTATTCCCACCCCTATAGATATAATTGAGGGTGTTGGATTCACCGTTTGGAGATCCGAGGAGAGAATGGAAGGCAAGAGGCTACACAGCCAGCTTTGATTCAGCTTTACAGCCCGTTTTGGAAGCCACGGACAGCACTGTACCAGAACAATGTCCATCACTAAACAGCTTGGGCAATATCTCGCAAAGATTCATGAATCCATGAACAAAATCACGAATGCTGCCAGAAAGGCAGATAATCTAAAATTACGCAGACAGCTACCAGTAAAGGCTTATAGGTCCTAAACACTATAAGCCCCTTATACGTCCGAATGGCTACAATTCTGTGAATGCGATGACAAGTCTGGGGCTATAGATTTCTGAGCAGGCCATGCTTCCGTGGTGCGCCATGCTGTGTCAAGGGGGTTCGGTTTCGGGATTAGCAGACCTTATAGTCTCCATTGTAGTTCCTTTTTTTGGTTTAACCCTTTTTATATTAAGGATCCTAAAATAAGGTATCCCCAAAAAGGAACTACAATAGAGACTATAGGTAAAGTCAGGAATGCCCCGACGTGTTCTCGGTTGAGGAAATGATTGCCTGCACGTCCATTCGGCCACTTCCTCTCACGTTGCGGCTGTATAGGGGACAACCATTTTCTGCCAGACCATGCGCCCTAAGTGAAGAAAGCGCTCAACCCTGAAACTCTGTATATTCTCCAGAAATCACGAGAACTCGCGAACCTCCCTACAAGACAACCAAAAGACACGGACGTGGAAACCCCGAGCTTCCCGTGCAAGCAACCCTAACCCTCCAGGTACCTCTATATAGGGCCCTAGGGGCTCTAGTACCCTATATAGTAGGTACCTGGGGGGTTAGGGCAAAGGACAATCGACCTCAAACGCCTCAACCGCTGAGAAGCGTTCCATCAGAAAGAGCGCCCCAAACCAATCCGCTATCCTGAACAACCCCTAACCCCCCCAGGTACCTACTATATAGGGTACTAGAGCCCCTAGGGCCCTATATAGTAGGTACCTGGGGGGTTATAGGGAACTCCAACCCTAAACCCCTAAACCCTAAACCCTAAACCCTAAAACCCTAAACCCTATAAACCCCTAAAGCGCTGTAAACCGAGACCCTGAGAGTCCCGCGATGCTCCCCGGGTCGGGATCGACGAGGTAACCATCCCGGTCGGGTCTGACCTGAGAAGTTTACAGCGTTCAGGCTTCACGGCTTTAATGGGCTAGGCTTTCATTTCAGGGCTTTGCCAATAGTACGGCACCCTTATAAGAAGGACCCGAAAAGGGACCCTCATTTAGACAACTACCCATGGGTCGATGACTGCTGGGATTCCACCGGCTTTACCTCATATCGGTCAGGATAATGAAGGCTCTGGAAGGCGGCTCGGCTTGGGGTTAAGGGTGTAGGGTTTAATTAGGGTTTAGGGTTTAATTCGGGTTTAGGGTTTAGGGTGTAGGGTGTACCTACTGGAATTTCACATTGCATGCTGTGTGTCAGAGAGTCCAAAACCCTTTAAAGTGGCGCCCAGTATCCGACCTTAAAGCCTGCCGCCTCATGCAACCCAGAAAGCCTCCCCATACTGCCGCACGCTCTCCCGTCGAGCTGCGAAGTCTCGGGGGCCACCGCAAGTGGTTGCAATCACCGGCTTTCCGGCAGCCCAGGCCTCCGAGGGGTTCACAATCTTAGTTAATGAGTCAAACTCCAAAGCTTGAACATCATCATCATCATCGCATACCCTAAAACTCCAACCCACATACGCAGTCTCCAAGCCCCCGGATGCTTTAACTCCTCAAAAAAGACTCCAACCTGCCTCCAGGACGACAATCCCGAAGGGCTCGTTGCGGCTGGGTACCACCACGGCATCGCAGGATTTGAAAAGGGCCTCCAGGCTGGCCAAGGTTACTAAAGGCTGCTCTAGTTCAGAACACCCTGATGGGCAAGCATCTAACCTTTCTCCATCTCCCTCTCTCCTCTCTCTCTATGTGTATATATACATACAATAAATAAGTATATATATATATATACTATGTACATATGCAATAAGCATACCCTAATTTTTGTAGCCACTTCAAATAAGTTCTCCAAGAAGATGCCACTCTTGCTGATTCGAGCCTTTTGGCGTTTCAGGCTTGAGGTTTTGCCGAGGCCTGGATTTGGCACTAAAATCGATGGATGGACAACATTGGGATTGGGGTTTAGGGTTTAGGGGTCTAGGGTTCAGGGTGAGGATCTAGAGTTTAGCTTCCTGAGTTCATGGCCTCTAGAAGGCCAAAAGCGCAGGCCCAAACGTGCAAATCCCGAGCCCTCGACTTTGCAGCTTGCGAACGTTTGGTTTCAGATAGTCTTATCAATGGCAGAATGTCAGGAGCTTTGCGCCTATTTGTACGGGAAACAAAGCCCTGACTTCGTTCTGGCGGGGCCACCGAGAAACAAGGGAGCATCGCAGTTAGAACAGATGAGCAAGCTGTTACATATTGCATGCAAAGATATGAGAGCAAGTGCAAGGACCACCTATGCATATCAGCAGACTCGATGCACGCCCAGTGACAGCCACCAGAAAATACTACAAGAACAGCAGAACGAACCAAGCTTCCGACCTTCAAATGCGCAGTGCCACTTTTCACCTGTGCAAGTCGAGAAGACTCTCTTGGGTTTGCCAGCCGGATTTCAAGAATCGGTTTCCAAGATCCGGCCCGTGAATGCTTCAGGATTGCTGCGGGCTTTGAGGCCCTGATTCTTGAATCCATGGGCACTACATGTCTACAGTGGTTCCATGGGCCTTGAAAAGTCTCTTTAACCGTTTAAACTGTCTTCATTCATATGGGACTCTTGGAGCAAACATGGCAAAGCAGACCCGTCTTCGACCAAAGCTTTAAACCAGGACCCCATATGTAGTTCTCGGGCAGGGGCCGCCCAACAACTACATGCTTCAAGTGTCTTCAAGTACCTCATTAGGTGAACAAAGATGTCGGCTGTCAGGAGAATCAGATAAACCCTCAACCCTAAACCCTAAGTAGGAGCACTCAAAGCCTTTGACCTTTGGTTGCTAGGCAGCGCCGATACGAAACTCCGAAGCCGGTAATGTAGGGGCCTGAAGACTCAGCATCGGGTTTTGGGTTAGTAGTAAGGAACCTCCCAATATAGTATGGGTAATTATTCAGGCTCCTCTCTTGAAGAAGCAGAATCGGGTTTGGGTTATGTTATACTATAATTATAATAAGGAACCCCAAAATGGTATTGTTAGTTGTTTTGGGTTATGCTATGCTCTAATTATAATAAGGGAGCCCCAGAATGGTATTGGTAATTATTTTGGGTTATGTTATACTCTAACTATATAGCAAGGAAGCCCCAAAATAGTGTTGGTAATTATTCAGGCTCCTATAGTATATTGTCTCAATACGGGCACCAGGCACATCAGTCAAGCGAAGGAGCACATTGCGAGCCATCCGCGCCCTAAGGAACACCGAGTATACAAGCAGACCGAATCAAGATGAATATTGCACGGACGAGCAGCGCGAGTAGTCGTACGACTGTGCGTCAGGGTCACGGTTACCCCTGATACAGTTGCTTAGCAACGATGGCTTGAAGAATCGGCCACAGCAGCAATGGCAGCAGCTGTGGTGATCGATGCCACGGTCTTTCTGATTCGTGGTGTCCGGACCAGGCGTTGCCGTCAATGACCATAAACCCTAAACCCTCAACCCTAAACCCTCAACCCTGAACCCTCAACCCTAATCTCTGAACCCCAAACCCCAAACCCACACCCCAGTGTTCTCAAGCCCCTGGCAGAGCCAGCGAAGGACACGGCGTGGCCAACTCCCAGCCTTCGCAGCATCCCCGAAGTGAGGGACGCCGAGTCTCACCCGGGTCTGGGGTCTCGGGCTTATAAGCTATAGGGTTTAGGGTAGTTTAGGCTTTAGGGTTTAGGCTTTAGGGTTGATCGAGTTTAGGACTCACAAGCCTCAGAAAGAAGGAACGCCCCTGAAATGAAAGGTCCCACTTGCACATCTGCGCTCCGGAATGTGTAGTGTTTTCGAAAGCTTTAGGCTTCGATGGGTAAGGGTTGAGGCCCCATGCTTGCTGCACAGCCAAAAGGCTCCGAGAACCGCAACAAAAACATGCTCTGCAAGAACCCGATTTCATTGCTTCGGCTGAACCAACAGTTGCGTGGTGGGCTCGCTAGAGAGGCGAAGTGCGCGGCAGGAACATTTGACCAACTGGGAGCACTTACTTTGAAGCTAATGGTGCGTTCACCGCAACCCAGCTAGAGAGCACTCTCAATGTAGAGAGACCTTATCATCCGTCATTATGGGTATGTAGGAAATAACCTTTCGCACTTGAGGCTTCCCGAACGCGAATTGAGGTAGTGCGACCACATAGAGACGTGCTGCCTGAGCCACTCTCGAAAATATCATCCTGTCGGCTGGATTATGAACTTTACGATCTACCTACAGCTTTCTCGGGTGTGATAGGTATCCTTGCTAGTAGGACTCTGAGGCCGAGCACTGATGCGCACGGGATTCCAGCGCACCCTTCATGTGGCCATCACCAACCTTGGCAGAAACATACCGGGTCTTTTTAGACGGTTTAGGGTTTAGGGTTTATAGGGTTTAGGGTTTAGGGTTTATAGGGTTTAGGGTTTAGGGTTTAGAGAAGTCTACTCAGGAGCCCTCAGTTTGACTGTTCCACGATCTCTTCGACATGATGGCATCGTGTAGGGAATGCTGTAAGCAATCTTAGCTGTAGGATCTCTAACAGCCTCGTATACCTGCGACGGACAAGAACAAAAAATCTGAATGATACAGCCATCTTCTGGTAAGGCGGGACTGAGCCCATAGCGATGACGAACTTGGCATTGCCCCGTGCTTGAAGGATCATTGGAATAGCCTCTGCATGACCGCTGTTGTGGCTGTCTGGAAATGAGCCAGCCTTGAGATCCTGGGGGAAAGGGCATGCAAATTGGGACTGGTGGAATCTTAACATGACCGTGTCACTCGCTGTGCTTTTTGACAAACTCGAACAAGACTGCTTTTCCAAAACCCCACTCATGTGGCAATGGGACGCACGTCCTCAACAAAAAGGCCAGGGGCTAGAAGAAGAGGCAAGAGCAAACAGACAGACCACAACCCACTCAGTCAGCAAACACACGCACACAAAGACACGGAAACATATGTGTATGTGCATGCGCATGCGTGTATATGCAAAGTAAGTATGCATGTGAGTGTGTACCTAAACACACTGCATACCTATTTGCACACAACACGTATGTGGATAAATAAGAACTCTCTGTCTATATATATATATATATATATTTTTATTCATTTATTTATCTCTCTCTCTCTCTCTCCCTCAGTTAGATACACGCACGCAAAGACCTGCCTGTGTATGTACACTTGCACAGCGAAAGATTCCAACATGTCGTTGCGTTTGACTTCCGATCGAGGCTCCGAACAGCGAAGCCCCGAATACTCGATCTCCAAAAGCATTATAACCACTAGAATGAATACCTGGGCCCTGAAGAACCTTATCTGGGGTTAAGGTATAGCATACTAAATCCCGAACTCTATGAGACCGAGCCGGAAGCTCCCACAAAGCCCAAAGCCTCAAAACCCGAAACTCTACACCCAAACACCTTCACCTCAACCTCCAACCCGAATCTCCGAAGCCCAAGCCAAAGACCCAAAGCAAAGAAACCCGTTTGATAACCCATTTTAAGCATTTTTAAATATCCCCCTCTAATCACTTTTGCAGTACTTATACAGTACATATAGTCTCCATTGTAGTTCCTTTTTGGGGTTACCTTATAGGATCCCAATTATAAAATTGGTTAAATCAGAAAACGGAACTACTATGGAGACTATAGGTATCCCTTATTGGCCTCCAGCAGCAGGTCTGGGCCCTTCTGCACCGCCAGGCGTCCAACGAAGAGGAACATGGGGTCCATCACGTCGAAGCCCTGAAACATGGCCATAAACCCACCAAAAAGCCGGTAAAACCGAAAACCCCTATACCAACCCTAAACCCTATAAACCTTTAAAGCCATATAACCCTATAACCCTAGAGCCTATAAACCTTTAAAGCCCCATGAAACCCTATCAGCCCGAGGTTCTCAGGGCTGTTGAAGTGACTTTAGGGCCTTTAAGGGTTTAGGGTTTAGGGTTTTAGTTTTAGGGTGAAGGAACGACAGGACCCTTGTAGTAGGTAGCCCTCATAGGAAGCTTTAAAGGAATCCTGAACCGAAGCACTATCAACCCTAAACCCCTTTAAACTATCCTGTCTCCCACATAACACTTATAGTAGTCCTGTGCCGAAACCAGTCAAGGGTCTAGGGCACTTAGGGAAGCCTAAGTTCAAACGGAAGTCGGGCCTTGTCTTTTTTGGTGTTACCGGTCCACTCGTCCTCCCACTCCATCTTCGCGATGGCATCGGCATGGATCCCTTACGAAGTGAGAGTGTGGCTGACGCAGTTTTAGGGTTTAGGGCTTGGCCTTATAGGGTTTAGGTCTTACCGCTCAGGAAGATTCAGTGCTCTTGAAGGTTTGGGGTTTAGCATTCGAGTTCAAGGCTTGCGGAGGGCTTTCCGGATTTAGGGCAGGGCTCCATCCAGCTGATGGAAACCTCACACTTCGGTTCATGGGTTTAGGAATTAGTGGGCTTTGCTAGCTTTTTGTTAACAGCTTAGGGCTTAGTGGGCTTAGAGGTTTGTTGGAGAGCTCAGGTTAGGCAATGACGACGGGCCGAGAAACATCTTTGGCCAGGGGAGGGTAACAGCACCCGAGATACTGGCACTGATCATAGTTTCGACTCTACGTACACTCTACACCCTGAACCGGAAGACCCATCAATCGATCGAACGAATAAACCACCCAGCCGAATTTCGCACGGCACCAGCATGGCATCTGAGTGACCATGACTGCATGGACCGCATACACGATACATAACAAAGGCAACAACACCACAACCACTGCACACTTGCCATCCCAAGAGCAATAGCCCCTACGACGATGGACATGCTGCTGCTGCTCGTGCCAGTCCTACTCCTACCGTCCTTCGGTCCCACACTAATCTAAAGTTACTGATGCTACTGGCATTGGGAATACTAGCAGAACCGAAACCTCGACGACCCAATCTAGAAGCTCGAAGTCTACTTGGAGGTTCATGGGTAGTTATAAGTGGGGTTCTAAGTAGGGTAACTATAATTATAACCAATATTAGGGGACTTATAACTCCACTCATAACTACCCATGAACCTCCAAGTACTACGACCCGGAGAGCTGCTACTCAGGGGCCGACCATTGTAGATCACTTCGATCTTGGCCCCGTGGACTTGGTAGTGAGAACAGACCTCGGCAAGACTTGAAGATCCTGGGGGTTCCTTATTGTACTTATCGTAGGTCCCTTAAAGGGATTTCTACACAGGGCCACTACAAGGGATATAGAGTCCGGCAATGGTGAAGCGATTGATGCCGCAGTGCCACCAGATCCGGCCGGGTTTGCCCACGCCACATGTCAAATGTCAAAATGACATGGGCTTTCCCCCATCAGCAACTTCAGCCTCGTGAGGAACCCTGCACCCAAAAGCCCTTTATAGTCTATAGCCCTTGCGTTATATAACTGCTTATTCCTAACCCTCCAGGTACCAACTATATAGGCTACTAGAGCCCCTAGTACCCTATATAATAAATATGGTAGGTACCTGGAGGGTTAGGGTAGAGTAGCCCTTTCAGGGAACCCAGCCTCCTCTTTCAAAACGCCGGAGACCGCGATGACACGCTGGGCAGAATGGCAGGCCTGGCCCTCTATTTCACCTCAGGGCGTTGGAGGACATGAGGCTTCTGGAACCTGTGATCTCTTGCAGAACTCGCGAATGTGGCTGTCACACCATGGTCTACAGGATCTAACGATGGAATTCGGGCACTTCGGACAGCGGAAGACATGTCTGGGTGGTCTGCGAATTCGGGCACTTTGTCCGCCATACTGCACCTGGCGATTCCCACATGTAAACATGCTTGCACAAGCAGTGGACCGAACAATGTCAAGACGGCAAATGAACGATCGGACAAACAAGCTCAAAGCACGTTTCCGCAGCGGCCAGTTTCCGTCGAGTGCATGGTGAAGACCACCTGCTATGATGTCGCCCCAACCCACAAAGGCTCAAGAGAATTGTTCACTCGCATATACTGTTGTCCGACTGTACAATCTAGAGCTGCTGTACGTTCTGGTCAGACTGCACAGGTTACAAAGCGTGGCTACGTGGCCTACGTTGGATTGGAGACGGCTGCATTGAAAGCACTGCAGAGAAGTCGGTGGGCAAGTACGCATAATAATGTTGTGTGATACGTACAACATAATTCGCCTCGGCGCCGGCCGAAGCCGTCGGAGGTTCCCACAGGCATTTGTTGTTTCTCACATATTGCCCCTCCCCAGCGACCCAGACCCCCTCCCCTTTAAATTGGATTTCGTGTTGGCAGCCTCTACTTTGTACCACAAGCCTGNNCCCCTCCCCCCCCCCCCCCCCCAAAAAAAAAGTGGGAATTCTGAGGCTGGTGTCTTGTACTTTGTCGCAAAGCTTGATTCCCCTTCCAACACATGGGAGGTTGTCTACCAGACCAGTGATAATGCAGGGAATGTGCCACCCTTCGCGTGGGAGTCTTGCTCAGAGCATCAGCATGAAAACACATACTGATATCAAAAATATTCTGAAGCAAATGCACTCATTAACTCAAGACCTCATCTGTGTGACCTACCTGTTGCTTTCCGAAACGATGCACCGCGCCTGCTTCTCAAGTACAGCCAGGCCGAGGCGGACGACACGAAGCGTTTAAAATTCATGGGCTGCACATGTCTGCACATAAACAACACACGTACATGTTGGGAGTCTCCCCCGCCCATTAACAGTCAAATACTACTTTCCCTATATGTACCACCCCAGAAAAGCACAACTACTTGGAGGCCTCTAGAGTTTCCAGTTTTGGGGGGCCCCAACTGTTCAGCAACTTTTGGAGTTTGG